TTAACCCTAAACCTAACCCTACACCAAACCCTTATTTAAAGGGACTAGCTATGCGTTCAGACCTCCAGAAACAATCGAACGGTTCTGTGGAGCTTAGAGAGGCCAATCGTTGGTGCCGACATGCACCTTGGGGAGGGAATCTTCGGTCACAATGCAGTGAATGCACCATAAAACAGGAGTTTGAGGCACGTGATTTGTATCAACCAATGGCAGCGCTCACTAGAGCCCTATGTTCTTGATTGACCTAGGAAAAAAAATCACGCGGGCGGGGGTGACTGTGAGTGTGAGACATTGTCAGCACTCACTTCGCAAGTGTTTGTGATTAATATCACACATAAAGTAGACATATACATAGTATTACATACTCATTCACATGTTCACAATTGCAACTCAACTGAACAAAGCGTCACGGCTATCATCAACAGAATGTGATTTTACAAAGTCTCTACAAGTACAAGTACATGTAAAAGAAATCTGACATGTTTATTATGACGGGAAAATACGGATTAATACGCCACGGTAGAGTAGTAACCAAATAAAAAATTATAAAAAGAGTTTGTTGGTACCAATATAAGAAATTGCATACCGGATAATTTTAGCATCTTACATTAAAATTTATAATATACTTTACATGCATATAATCATGTTTCACATCATATTTTGTGCGAGAAGTGACGTCAGTATTCCTTTGCGGTCAAGATAGTACGTCAGCACAAAGCTTTCGGCAAGAGCCAAATAAGTTTGAGTTTGATCTATGTAAACTCTCAGGCAGTAAATAAATGCTCATGAACAAGGTTGTGTAGAAGTAAAGCAAAGCAATGGCATTCATCGTAAGTATCTGTGTGTATAATAGTAGCAAGTGTTGTTCAATGGTAACGCCTGGAACGGTGAAATACAGAATACTGATTACTGTCTCCTTATGCCTAGGTTTGGTAGGCTTGTGCCATGGCTTAATTACTAGTAATACTAATTACTATTAGTATTACTAATACTAATAGTAATATATGTTTAATCTGATATATTGTGTTGCAGGCACATCCCAGTGTGAGGATCCTGGGTACAGAGAATAGCTACAGCCCAATCAGTTGTATAGATCCTAACTGCCCCAATAAGAATCCACATATGCACTGCCCCTTTTGTGTGAAGACAGACAACTACCATGATCCTGTGATCCTAAAGGCTCACTACAGGGTGAAACATGTCGACAAGGGACTGGCATTTGCAGGTGACTATTCTTTGCTATTGCCACGTATTGTATCTGCTGCATGCTCGTATAGAATATGGTGCAGCTTAGATACAATAATGTAACCCAAACTCAGGATAGAGTTACAACGCGAGTCTATGGTTTTCTGTGGAGGGACCCATGAGTGAATCACTCGGGGCGGTTTGCTGGTGCGTTTTCAGAGACTAGAACTTCCAAACTGGGTTTATTATAAACACGAACCTTTCTCCGCTATCCTGGAACTTACTATGTATCACAATACTCTGTATAAAACTAATATAACCTGTTACAAAAATTCGAAGTGACGAGCGGCGGATATATTGAGCGCCATTTCTGTTGACCTTTGAAGTACTTCGGCTTGAAGAGCGGATTCACCGACCAATCGGAGGGCGCTGCGTTTGCCGATCGCTATGCGCATTGGGAATGCGTACGTCACAGGTCAACAGAAATGGCGCTCAATAGATCCACCGCTTGTCACTTCGAATTTTTGTAACAGGTTATATTAGTTTAATACAGAGTATTGTGATACATAGTAAGTTTCAGTTCAGGATAGCAGAGAAAGGTTCGTGTTAGAATGAACCCAGTTTGGAAGTCTTAGTCTCTGAAAACGCACCAGCAAACCCCTGCGTGATTCACTCAGGGGTTCCTCCCAGAAAACGCAGTAGACTCGCGTTGTAACCCTATCCTGGTTCTTGGTTACATTCTTGTATCTAGGTGGGAGTGCAGGGAGTTCAGTAGGCATGTCTTTTTGTTTTCTAGCTGAAAAAACAAGATAAACAAGGAAACTAAAAAAAAAAAAAAAAAAGGATCATGGATAAAGTTAAGCATTCTAAGATGGTGCGAGAGGAGAGGGTATAAGTAATAGAAATCGAAGATAGGTATATGGTATAAACAGACAGAATGAAATGAAGATGAGATACGAGCGTGTTGGTGAAGCAGGGGTATATGGGTAGATGAGGAAGTGAGAAGTATAAGGATGGAATAAGTGATTAGGGAGGGGGAGATATCGGGGAACGTGAAAAATGTAAGATATGATGAATCAAAGTGTTGGATGGTCGTGAGACGTGTGATAGTTGAAGAATATGTGCAGTTGTGGGTCAGCGAAGTGGTAAGAGGAAAAGATTTTGTAAAGACAGTGAAGATAGCATTAAATAGTAGAATTTATGTGATGTGTCTGGTGGGTTGAAAGAGATAAAGTGAGGGAGAGACGAGATAGTGGTGGTAAGGACAAAAGTGTGAACAGGAAGAGGATGCTGGAGTCGAGTTGAGCGAGAAAAGTGGAGGGAGTAGGAGGGGAGGAAGTGGATGAGGATTGAAGATAAAGTTGAAAGGAGAGGTGGTCGT